TCATTCTCCCCTTGTACTCGGCCTTAGTGAGGCCGCAGCTGGAGTACTGCGTCCAGTTTTGGGCTCCACAATTCAAAAAGGATGTGGAGAAGCTTGAGAGAGTCCAGAGAAGAGCCACGCGCATGATCAGAGGTCAGGGAAGCAGACCCTACGATGACAGGCTGAGAGCCCTGGGGCTCTTTAGCCTGGAAAAGCGCAGGCTCAGGGGTGATCTGATGGCCACCTATAAGTTTATCAGGGGTGACCACCAGTATCTGGGGGAACGTTTGTTCACCAGAGCGCCCCAAGGGATGACGACTAGGTCGAATGGTCATAAACTACTACAAGACCGTTTCAGGCTGGACATAAGGAAGAATTTCTTTACTGTCCGAGCCCCCAAGGTCTGGAACAGCCTGCCACCAGAGGTGGTTCAAACGCCTACATTGAACACCTTCAAGAGCAAACTGGATGCTTATCTTGCTGGGATCCTATGACCCCAGCTGACTTCCTGCCCTTTGGGCGGGGGGCTGGACTCGATGATCTTCCGAGGTCCCTTTCAGCCTTAATGTCTATGAAATCTATGAAATGTATACTTAAACAGAGTGCAGAAAGTACTTGGAGGAAAAAACATGCTTAAAAAGGTATTTCAACCTTAATTTCCAATATTTTCTTCCCATAGCTCTGGAAATGGAAAAAGGCCACATATTTAGATGTAGGACTGCAAATTAAACCTCATTTTACAGAATTACCTTTCTTAATGCTTTATATGCTTTGTACCATGGATTGAAGTTGTGTATTATTACAGCAAAACTACCAACGCTGTAAAATGAACAGAAAGCACTTCTTTCCACTTCATCATTTTCTCTCTTCATTGAATTAGGACAGCTTTTGAAAGATTCTACTATCTGAATTTGGATAAGCTGGTTAGACTCTCTGTTACTCATCTTAAATAGTTTTATTTCACAAATAGTCTTATTAAAGTTACCTCCTCATGAAGTCATAAGATGGTACTAAACAGGGGTAGGTTATCCAAATCTGGCTCATAACTTATTCACGGAAGTTTCTACACAGCTCATTCTGGCTAGAGCAATAATGGGCAAGGATACCAGTAGTTTAGGTCTTGGTTTTGCTTGGTTATAGCTTCATAGTTTCTAGGGTCAGAAGGGACCTGACTAGGTCATCAAGTCTGACCCCCTGCCCTGGGCAGAAACGAGTGCTGAGATCATAATACCCCAGCCAGATATTTCTCCAACCTTTTCTTGAAGACCCCCTTGGGAGCCCATTCTAGAGCCTGGCAGCCCTAACCATAAAGTAATGCCTCCTGATATCTAGCCTGAACCTGCTCTCAATCAATTTGTGGCCATTATTCCTTGTTATCCCAGGTGGTGCTGGGGGGAACAGAGCCTCACCTATTTTCCGCTGGTCCCCCCTGGTGAGTTTATAGATGGCCCCTCTCAGTCTTCTCTTGTGGAGGCTAAATAAATTCAGGCCCTTTAGTCTATCCTCGTAGGGCCTGGCCTGACCACCAAGTAAACATGGGCAGCAATCAGGCAGCTTGCAGCTGGCTGTTATCCCAATCAGGCAATGCTGCCAGATTGGCGAACAGGGCCCAGCTGTTATATATAAGGACTAGGCCCTGAACAAAAGGGCAGCAGCCTGCTGCCAGCCAGCCAGAGAACACCACCCAGCTGAAGCTGCTGCTGAACATCTCGGGTGTTAGACCACAGGACATTTGCAAGGCATGGGATATGATAAGGGGAGGCTGAAGTCGTGTACTTGGGCCCTTGTCACTAGGGCAGATAAATGGGCAGCCTCCTGCCTGATAAGCATCTAGTAATCATTACATCAAGGCATGGCAGGAAAGATAGGTGGGCGGTTAGCCCGTAGAGAAGTGAGCAGGCCTATGTTTGAGACCAGCCCCAGGATGCGCACGTTACAAACACCTACAATCAAATTCTCCAAAAATTACTTCTTTCCACTCTAATAGTTTTTACTTATCTTTTGGCTGTTTTATAAAACCCATCACACATGAAGTCACTTCATAAGTTTGGCAGAAAATTAAGGGGTGGGGAGGAGAAAAAGATCATCTCACATTAACAGAAGGAGACAAAATTGTAAAAATATATTGCATCTCAAGTTCTATTACTAATGTCCATGGCTATAGTCAAATAGACAGCAGGTGTGACAGGTTTGCTGAAACTGCTACTGTTTTGAGTATTATTACACTGTGAGAAAGGTACAATACCTTTACTGTAACTGAAGGAACCACCTCTGCTCTCACCTCACTGTCAATGGCTTGCTGTGAAGAAAGATGAAAACAGAACAAGTTCAATATTACACATGAATGATTGAACACAATGAATGCAATATTACTCTCCTACCATCAGCTAGGCAAATAGGGAATTAACTGTAAAGGACTTATCACTTCAATGACAAATTAAAATACACAAAATAGGTTTCTGGGCCCCCTCTTAAAAACAAAAATCTCCCTCTGAAACTGCCTGCAAAAGGATAGCAAAGGTCATGAATGTTGTGTGTTTATAAAGCTAATATACTTTGAAGTATATTTTAATATTTGAAACTGTTTTTCTTGGCACAGTTCTTTTTACTCTACGTTTCTTCGCATTTTGGAAACTCCTTGGGCTATTCAGTAAGGAAAGGTAACTTCCAAGATACTTATATACACAAATATTATATATATACACACACACACGTTAGTTTGTAATGTATAATCACTACATTCTATCATATAATCAAAATAAAATAGTGTAATGTAGGTCTTGAATTTCAAAAGTAAAAAATATAGCTACCTTTTTTTAAACAGAAATAAGCAACAGTAGCAAGAGATAACCATGTCCAAAGATAAAGTCATTTTGACCATTCAGTCTTTTTAAAATAAGTATATTCATACCAAACAGTTCTACATGGAATTCTCATTTTTGGTTCTAATGATCACACACACACCTTTATGCTTAAGCATTTCTTTTCAAGATCTACATAGCAACCCTTACAATACAACTTCACATGGTACAATATGTAAAGTAATCTAAAGCCCCTGGCAGACATTAATATAATCACTGGATTGGTATCTGAGGAATTTTGTGCCCAAACCCAAAAACTTCATGACTGCCTGGAAGCAGGAAGCCCAACTTCAGGAGCCTAGGGCTTCCCTGTGCCTTATGCTAATGATCAGTTTATTGCCAGGATTGGGGAGGAGGTACTCCCAGGGTCTGGGATACAGTAGCCCTGTGGTTCTGGCCCAATCCCCCTACACACACATATAACCCAGTATGCCAGCTCTTTTAAAAGGCTTATCCTCCACCTCTTGTAGTTTATCGTGTTTTTACTAAGTGACTGTAGTACACACCCCCAAGGAACTTTTCTATATAAGACATGGAAAAATACAGTTGCCACAAAGGCTACTCTCAGTATCATACCACTGATTCAAGACAACAGCTAATTTGGCAGACACATTTGCTCATGAATGAGGCAGCTCAGTTTACATCTGCAAACTTAAGTACCTCAGTGAAAGAACAAGAGATTGTTAGTGACCTAAGGTATTTTAGAGCTGCATCTAGGCAACACCAGGCAACCAGGGGTGCTGACAGATGTGCAGGCCCCCACTCTAACTCATGGTGCTTTACATAAAGTGCCGTGAGTTAGAATTTTTCCCCTCCCAGCCAGCCAAGGAGCGGTCCCTCTCCTGAGCCCTCCCCTCCTCCCCCCCCAGCTCCCATTCAGCACAGTGAGGGACCAACAAACTTACACAAACCCCGGGTGCATCTCTGGGAGCACCCTGATACTCCAGGGTTTTGTCACAAACAGTTATGACGAAGAATGTCAATATTTGTATTTCTAAACTTAAGAATTAAAAATGCAATTCCATTCACGTTTTGAACATCCAAAATAACCTGGTAAGCATAGTTTTGCAGACATGGGTAGCCAGAAATTACTAAACAGACATCTATCAAGGTACAATACTGTCCAAGCTCTGAGATGCAAATAGCCTAATTTTTAGAGGAATGCAATAACACTAGATACAAGAAATGTCAGTAGACTTGAAATGCAAGATCGATGCTTTACTTCAGCTTATTTGGAACTGTGTTACAGCACCAAAGAACCATTGATTATGAGAATGGCATAGTCCCACCAGGCCATCTTGCTAAACTTCTTGCCAAAGCAAGATCACTCCTCATGGAGGATCTCTGAATTGTTTGGGCAGCCTAGTTTTAAATGATCCATGTAATGAAGCTTCCACCGTTTCTCTTCACACTACTAACACAGTGCAATCATTTTTAGTAATAAAAATTTATTCCAGATAGGTTAAATTTTTCCTTTGCTTAGTTTCATTTCAAAGGACTACAGTCATCAAGATGAAACTTTACTTCTTTAAGTAACCCTTGTCAGAACCCATTGTTCATATGCCTATAGTATAGTGGAGGATTCCATAATTTGATACAGAAGGCAGTCTGTCAATCATTCTGTAAGTAGGTCATGTAATTAGGTCACGAGGGGAAAACTCCAGAGCCCAGTGACTATATATTAATGACCTAGAAAAAGTTCCCGCCAATTTGCAGCTTCTTTGCATGGTGCATTTATTTTGCATCTAAGAAATGCTCGGTGCAAAGAGTTCCCGCCATTTATATTCTAATTCGAGCCCCATTATTGGCTTGTGTGAAATTATGCACACGTGGCGGCTAGCGATTGGCTTGCTAGCCATATAAAAAGCTTGAGCAGTTTCCGCCCAAGTTGGAGAGCTCCACACACACCTCATGGAGAACTCTGAGTACACTGTGGAGCCTAGCAAACTCCACGCGTGTTTCAGAGCGAACTTAGCGGCCTGAACAACCACTAAGGACTCCCCGTCACCGACCCAAGGGGGCCTAGCACACCCCCACCCGAGACGTAAGACGACTGCCGGCCCGAACACCCCGAAAACCCCGACACATTTGCAGACCGACCAAACCAACTTTGTAATTTCTGCCCGACCCAAGTTTTACAACTGTAATCGAAGCAAGCTTCTGACCTGCACTGTACGAGCAGTGTAAGTAAACAATCTTTTGTTCAATCCAAACGCTTGAGTACCTGATTCCACTCCAAGCGTCACAAGTACCCGCCCGCCGACTAGGGCTCCTAAGGCCCCGAACCCCGCGCCGCGGCTCTCGGTGGCGACAACCCTATTTTACTAAAAATTATTAATCAAACATTCTGCAAATTATCGACATAACTGCACCATCTACCATAAGATCTGTGTTACACATTGCTAATATATAGCAATATGTCATGAATTTGAGGTTATTCTAAATTTTGAAGCATCCTATTCTGCATATAGAAAACAAGCCATATAAACAAATAGTGATGCCAACAAACAAAAAATGGTTCTTTTTATTCTCCTCGCCTGTTTTTAATTATAGAAAAAGGTGAATTTATGTTTGACTATAGTCTTCAATTGTTTTCCTTATATATGTGAAAAAGCAGCTAAAGAGTAGATCATGCCATTTTATTCAATATGAATCCATAAGCATGAGAGCAGACCCCATATAATTAGTTCTATTACCAATATATCCTGGTCACAATAAATACAATCAATTTTTTTCACAGAAATTATACTCCTCAAAGACTACCAATATGCATCTTACCTGTAAGTCTGCATAGAAATATATTCCTTCAAGCAATAAAGTATCCCAGAGCTACCAGTGTATGGTTTTGACTTCTATATTACACACTAGGGGTGTGCGTAGCGGGCATATTTGATTCAGATTGGGCCCAAATCAGGGGACAGTGATTCAATTTGCTGATTCAGATCGCTGTCCCAATTTGATTCAGCCAAATCCGAATCTGAAGGTTTGATTCTGATTCGGAGAATCAGCAATTCAGCCACAGACACAGCTTTAAATGTTTTTTCTTATATACCTCAGAGTACCAGGCGCAGCTTGAGAATGCTGAGATGAGGGGGCAGATGGAGCATCCCACAGGAGCACGGGAGGGCCTCCCGCATGCTCAGCGGGAGACCCAGAAGTGGACCAGTAGTACTTCCGGTCTACTTCCAGGTCCACTGCTGAGCATGCAGGGGACCCCCACACACCCCCAGGATTGGCAATCAGCCATGGGGGACACCAGGTGCTCCCCCAGACCCAGGAGGCACCGATTGCTGAGCTGGGGGGGTGGGGGGGGGCGGTCCCTGCACACTCCACGGTGGACTTGGATGTGGACTGGAAGTGCTTCTGGTCCACTTCTGGGTCCGCCATCAAGCGCAATGGGGACACCCTTGCACTCCCATGGGGAGCTCCATACACCCCACTATCTCAGTGTTCATGAGCCAACTGGTACCTTGAGGTATATAGAAAAAACATATAAAGCTGTGTCTACGCCCGAATCGTCCAATCGCTCTGAATTGAATTGGAGGCTTCTGATTCAATTTGGAGAGATTAATGGGTCTCCTGATTCGATTCGGAGATCCGGCCTCTGAATCAGGCCGAATTTCCTCTGAATCGAATCAGTGACTGAAGGTTCACACAGCCCGATCACACACACACACACACACACACGCACACACACACACACACACACACACACACACACACTACACCCCCCATCCCAGGAGCTAAACTTAAAGGTATACAAACTATTCCCCAAGTAAACTTCTCTTCTCAAACCATGTTGCAGTAGTTAAGTACACTAAAATAAAATGGTGTTACAGAGTAGAATATGAATAAGAACAACAGCTTCAGAAAAAGTACCATTTTCTACATTAAAACTCTCCTTTAAAATAATCTACCTACAGATATTGCATCCAGGTGAAATGAAACTTCTGCTGTGACTTTCAAATCATCATCCTCAGATTTGGGCAAAATATCTGCAAAGGAAAAAAAAAAAAAGCAATCAACCCTACTTTAAATGATTGAGTACATCTACAGTCCTAAAAAGATTTTCTATGGAGAATGGCGCACAGCTTGACCAAGATGCATTTCTGAGTTTAAACTGAGTGTCTCCAAACTGGTACCTGAAGAAAAAAAATGCATCAGCAAAAATGTAGACATCAACTCTGCCATAGATGAGCAATTCTACCAATCAATCCTATGCCAGTCCCAAGCCCAGATAAAGGAAGAGCATCCAGCTTTAAAAACCTCTCCCAAATCATCATAATGCAGATCCAACGAACAAATGTAGCTAGGGCATACCCCATAGGTGACATGCAGGATCAATGCCTGGATCTTCATCAATGACCTGGAAGACAGCATAAAGTGCACCCTCAGCAAGTTTGCTGATGACACCAAGCTGAGGGGAGTAGTAGATACGCTGGAGGGCAGGGCTAGAATTCAGAGTGACCTACACAAATTGGTGGATTGGGTCAAAAGAAATCTCATGAGGTTCAACAAGGACAAGTGCAAAGTCCTGCACTTAGGACAGAACAATCCCACACACAACTACAGGCAGGGGCCTGACTGGCTGGGCAGCAGCTCTGCAGAAAAGGACCTGAGGGCTGAAGACGAGTCAACAGTGTGCCCTTGATGCAAAGAAGGCTAACGACATACTGGGCTGCATTGGTAGGTGTGCAGCCAGCAGGTCAAGGGAAGTGATTATTCCCCTCTGATGAGGCCGCATCTGGAGTACTGTGGTTTAGTTTTGGGGCCCCCACTATGGAAAGGATGTGAACTAATTGGAGAGAGCCCAGCGGAAGGCAACAAAAGTGGCGAGGGGGCTGGTGGACACGACTTCTGAAGAGAAGCTGAGGAGACTGGGCTTATTTAGTTTGGAGAAGAGAAGACTGAGATGGGATTTAATAGCAACCTTCAACTACCTGAAGTGAGGCTCGAAAGAGGATGGAGTTAGACCTTTCTCAGTGGTGGCAGAGGAGAAACGATCTCAAGTTGCAGCAAGGGAAGTTTAGGTTAGATATTAGGAATAATATTCTCCAAAGAAAATAGTAAAACACTGGCACAGGTTACCCAGAGAAGTGATAGAATCTCCATCCTTAGAGGCTTTTAAGACCCAGCTAGACAATGCTTTGTCTGGGATTATCTAGCTGGGCCTGGTCCTACTTTGAGCAGGGGGTTAGACCAGATGACCTTCCAAGGTCCCTTCCAACCTTAATTTTCTAAGATTCTATGATTCTAAGAGGAAAACCAAAGATGAGATAGAAAGATACAGTGAAGAGGGACATGAAAGAGAAGGAGTTGGAAGAAGATAGGTAAAACCAAAGCTGGTAGATAGCCAGGATCCACAACAGCAACCCCGTTTAGATGGGACGAGCAAAGGAAGAAGCAGCAGTAAAAATGTAGACATCAGTAGTGACATCCCCTGCATAATGTTACCCATCTCCTATCAAGCAGAGCTCTGTGTACTATATAAACATAAAGATTACAAGAAATACAGGTTTGAAATGGAGATTAGAGTATCATTGTCTAAAGTGGATATAAAATTATTTGGATCATGTTCAATGAATAGTCCAATGATAGTCATTAGTACTCAAATTCTAGTTGGGAGGAGGTATCAAGTGGGGTTCCCCAGGGTATGGTATTTTTCAACATCTGCAATGATTTGAGCAGGGTTGGCAAGCCAGTCAATTGACCAGTCAAATATTGTCAATTGGCCAGTCAGCTGACTGCATATTTTTTGATCAAAGATTGTAGTAATTTTACAAAAAACCCTACTTTTTTTTTTTTACGTTTCCTTGACAGAAATATTATTTTTATTGTTTTTTGACACATTTCTCAATGAAAAAATTGTGCTCTTCCTGTGTATTATTTGGACCTGTTGGCAATTTTTAAAAATAATTTTTTACTGATATTTGACTGGTAAATTGACCAAGCTTTATTTGATCCATTTAAATAACCAAACCTAGATCTGAACAATGAGATTGTGTGCATGCTTAGCAAATTCCTGGATGCCAGCCATTCAGGTATAGCTACAAACATTCTGGAGGATAGGACTTGTATCCTGAATAACCTGGACAGACTGGAAAAATAGTCAGTGATCAACCAAATGAAAATCAACAAGGACCAGTGCAAAGTCCTGTACTTGGGACAGGTTATGGTACTGCTAGGCTACGGTACTGCAAAGGACCTAGAGATTACTACTGTGGACAAATTGAATATGAACCAACAGTATGCTCTTGAAATAAAAACTCAACCACATACCAGGTTATATTAACAGAAGTCTTGCTTGTAAAGCAAAGGAAGTGATTTTTCCACTACACTGAACACTGGTGATAGCCCACCTGGTGTACTGTGTCCAGTTCTGGGCCCCACACTTCAAGAAGGATGTAGAGAGATTGGGAAGAGTTCAGAAGAGGATGACAAAAATTATTAGAAGTCTGGGAAGCATGATTTATGAGGAAAAACCAAAAGAGATCGGGTTATTTAGTCTGGGGAAGAGAAGGCTGAAGGAGGATTTAATAACAGTCTTCAAATACCTGAAGGGTGATTATGAAGAAGATGGAGATGGCCCTTCTCTATGGCTGCAAGGGACAGGACTAGGAAGCTACAGCAGAGGAAATTTAGGTTGGAGATTAGGAAGGACTTTATGACTATGACAGTTGTCAAGCATTGGAGCAGGCTACCTAGAGAAACTGTGGAATCTCCATTCCTGGCAACTTTAAAGACAAGCTTAGACAGACATTTGGCTGAGATGGTTTAGCCTGGAATGATCCTGCTTTAAGCAGGGGGCCCTGACTAGATGACCTCCTGAGGTCCCTTTCAGCCCTACTTTCCTATGATACCATGAAGCCCAACAGTATTTCTCTGTGGGCATGCTGGAGTTTATGAACTACAAATTCTTAATTTAAAAAACAATATGCCAATATATTAAGAGGAGCGTGAAAATAAATGTATAAAAATTAACACACCACTAAGTTATTGAGTAGACATTAAATAAATGTTGTTATTATTTATCACATTTTGAAACAAAGAAAAAAAGTGTACCAGAAACTGCAACGGCAATGCTAGAAATCAAAATCACAGCCATTTACTTAAGCCTGGATCCCTTTACTAGGATCTTCTTACCCCATCTTATAGACAGAAATATTTCAGCCAGTGGCCCCAATGAAGGCTCATTGACAACAACTCTGAAAACGTAACACCTTGGGCATTTATACACCTTTTTTTTTCCAGCAACGCATCGGAGATCCGCCACTTTGGAGCAGACTTGACTAATCAAGTCAACTCCAGACACAAGCTGAAGCAAACTGCACTGTGCTGTGTGCAGTTGTACACGTGGCAAAATGTGTGTCAGCACACAAAAAGTGGCAATAGCAAACTTTTGAACCAAAGCACCTCCAAGTTTAGTTCAAAAGCGTGTCACCACCATTTTATCAGCGCTGACATGCATTTCCCCACTTATTTCTTTTCTTTTTCATTTTTGGATGAGTATGGAAGAGGTCATATGGGAGCCCTTTCCATTTACAAAATAAAAAATACAACATTTGGCAATTTCCCTAATCTTTTCCTACCTTTCCTACCAAAATTATTTAAGCTTGGTTGTGCAAGTGGTCACAAGACAAGAAAACTGTTCGTTCATTCCTTTAGCTGACTGACATGCTTCCTGGTGCCAATTATGCATGACAAAACTTGTCACCTTTGCATTAGAGACTGGACTTAGAGAGGGTCACACGATGTCAATGGAGCAGATGGCTGCCTGAAGCTAGACCTCCATGGGAGAAACAGCATAATCCACAAAAAACATTATTCCTGACCAACCTCTCCCCTCAACTCTGAAAAGGCATTTCTCCTATGTAAAAGGATTAATTTGAAAAGCTACTTCCCCAGAACATGCTCACTGGAGGATCCTCATTTGGAACAACACACAACGTCTGCTGAATCAAAGATGACTGCCACAGGGGAAAGAAAAACAGGCAAAGCATAGGACAAAGGAAAAAAAGCCCCTTTAACCAGAGAGGACTTAGGTGAGTTAATCTCAGAAAGGCATTTTAAAATCCTCTAGAGGCACAGTTTAATAAAATGAAGCAGAGAAACAAAACCGGGAGCAGGTTCACAGACCGGAAGATAAAGTAGAGGGAAACCTGCAATCAGCAGTTAAACTTAAAATAAAATTAAGATAATTGGGGGGAAAAAAGATAAGGAGCTTGCAGAGAAAACTATGATCACAGAATATAGTGAGAAAAGAAATAAGAATAAAAGAACTCTCAGAAGGTATGGAAAAGAGATACAGCAGAATAGTTAAAGCAGGCATTTAATTCCTTCCTGCAGCTTAAAAAGAGGCTGTAACAGTCCTTGTAGACCAAGCGCACACAGCTCGCTACACTCCCCACCTCTCCCAACCGCCCCCAGCAATTCAAATAAAACAAGTGACATACTACTACCCTGTTTTGAACAAAAGCAGCAGATTCTGAAGAACCTTAGAGATACTCCTAATCCTGCTCTGGGAGGATATAAAATACAAGGGCATTTTTACGTGTGGTGGGATGCAGCGCCAGGCACTTTTAATTAACAAGCCACACTAATTAAAAGCTCCTGCGCATCACATGCAAAAGTGTCACTGTGCATCCCCACACTGAAAAAATGACGGTGGGGCACCTTGAACTGAAGCTCATCAAATGCGTTTTATTTCAAAGCACACTGCTGTCATTCTGTCAGAGGCAAGACAGGTGGCAAAGCTGATTCATGTGACACACGAGGCTGCTTGAGCGTGTCAATTTCTGTGCTCCAGCAGACTCAATTAATTGAGTCTGTTCCGACATGCTGGATTTCCAGCACATCACAGCACACTCCGTGCACATGTGTAGGAGGTGGTATTTCAAGATTCATCACAGGCAACGTTAAGGAGAAGGAAGGAACTTCATGAAATTACAGCATCTCTCAGAGAAGTAAGTTAAAGATACATATGGGGTTTTTCTTT